GGACATTAATTAAGTCACTGCATGTTTATAATATAATAATCAAGTGTAAACTTCATGCCATCTGCTTTCAACACTGAATTTTAGTTATGCCATTGGAACCACGTGGTGCATAGACATATTTTTAAAATTTTATTTCATTTACCAACTTTTTTACCCTTGCCTTTGCCCATGGCCTTGGAATTTAGCAACATGTATTCTGCTGACCCCAGCTAATAATCCTCATACTGAGAGGTGTGCTGTACTGGAAGATACTGTAAATTTAATTTGTTTAAAACTGCGTTTCAATTACACTGACTGTGCGTTTAAACACATTATTATAATAGTTAATGTTTCATATTAATAATTAATAGGCATACAAGCAGTAACTGCTCTACGATCAAATTCTATGACTATGTTGTTACACTGACTGTAGTCTGTAATTAAAAAAGCTTCAGATTGTATATCCCGCCCGCTTGATCACACAAGCTTTCGCGTAAAAGTTTTATTGTTGACAAAAAATGTATAATTATTATTTTTACAAAAAGCTCTGGATATTAATACCGAACAGACGCCGGTTAAATTTCACAGCACATGTAGCTCCGTTTTCTCATATATCTTTCGACATTTGTATATTTGGTGCATACTTGCATATATTTTTCAATGAAACATAAAACGTTGCCACACTGTCACTATAATATGAATATTTAATAGTGAAAACAAACCGCATGCAATTTGACAAATTCAAAACTGGCAAAGTCAAACACGCAATTCAGAAATGTTAATTAACAAAGTCAAATGCGCGCAATATTACGAAATAATGAAGTGTGAAATATAATGAAATTTTCATATTTTCTCTACTTTTTTCTTTTGAGTTGATGAGAGTTGGCAGTCACGAATTGTTACAGGCGATTAACCCCCACAGCCGGCAAATTGTCAGTCGTAGTCGGCAAAACATGACTGGATAGGACTGGAACATATTAATGAAAAAGAAATATTTGAGTGTGCTAATTAAAAATTAATGATGGGTAAAAAGTTGGAGAATGAATGTGCATGATTAAATAAACAACGGTACGTTAACCCAAAACAAGTTAAGGCCCGTTAAAAAATAGAATGTCCGGAAATAATGTTTATGGTTAGCCGCCAAACCCCCTCCCCCCATTCAAAAAGGACTAGCGCCGGCTCTGGCCTGACGGAAGAAGTTATTTCGCTGACCTTAGAATGACATTTCATCAAAACATTTTTCTTCAAGATTGGTTTAGAAACTTGGAGTAGGGTTAGGTTAGGGTAGGGTTAGTGTTAGTAAAACAGTTGCTTTGTTACGTTTTGTCGCTCTGAGGCCAGCGAAATAACCTCTACCTCTGGTCACAGGGGACATTTCAAGCTCAAACAAAATAAAGGTTTGATGAGTGTTGCAACTATAATCTATATAAAGTTTCTGAAACGTTCTCTGATCGTAAATTTTTTATTTGAAACACAAGCTTTCGACTGCCAGTCTGCAGTCTTCGACAGGTAGAAGAGAACGTTTCAGAAAACGTTTCAGAAACTATCAGAGAACGTTTCAGAAACTTTATTATGAATCCTGGTCGCGCATCTAGCATTTTTAATATAATCTATATGTTCCGACTTAACTCAATACATGACAGTGTTGGGAAAACATTAAGAACCAGGCGGGAATCGTAACCTAATGATAAATATCAATGCCCACCATTTCATGTCCGTAAAATTATTTATAGCCATAACAAAATGAATTTTTATAAAGTTTAACTTAAGGACTATAAACCTTTTCACTTTTGTCTTCAGAGTTAATAGCGAAGCAAGCAACGTTCTTGTCATGGACGTCAGATTGCCGAGGGGGGGGGGGGACTGAATTAAAAACTGTGTTTGTGTCAGATTGTAATCTTCAACACATTTATATAACGTCAGTTTATATGTACATATGACAAAACATAAGACTTTTAATTTATTTTTTTCCTTACGCGAGCGCTATGCCTATGATGCAAAAGGCCGCCCAAAACTAGTTATGCCAATTTTGGGGTGACGTATGGACGTCAAAATGGTTGACAAAAGCTCACTAGACTCTAATAATAAAGGAGGATATTAAAAAGCTACACATATCATGAATAAATTACAACTAAGTTACATTACAAGAATTATATACAAATATAAGCTAAGGATTATAAAACGATTATACTTGTAATTCAATACATATGTACACACAAATTTATTTTTGCACGTTAGCCCCAACAACAAGTAGTTGATTTCCATGGGGATTGGGGACGTGCGGACATACAGTCAGAATAAAAATACAAATAACACATATAAGTAGATAAGAATATAGAGAAACTATTTACTATTTCTTTTATCAGTTTTTTGAAATAATTTAAAGTATCAATTGGCCTTTTTCACATGAACGGGTAAATTATTCCTGTAACTTCTGGTCGAATTTAACGGTTTCCCAGGTGTTTTATGAATTATGGCACTTCGAATCAAAACTGACAAGTCTTGTTCGAGTTGTATATAGCAATGTAATTAATATCCAAGACTTGACGTCAACTAGACTACAACTTAGTATATGTTGTGTGAAAACTATAAAGTCAAAATATAAAGTCAAATATCGTATAAATGTGTAACTATTTCCTAAGTCGTATGACGAAATAGGGCAATTCAATTGCGATCGTTTTCGAGAACAATCGGATTTATAGATTGGGTGAAGTTAAATTATTTAATATTTTATATGCTGAGTATTTGGAAATCCTGTTTTATTAATGAAATATGCAGATTTGTGGCAGTGCCTGCTATACCAAGACTACATTGATAAGTTCCAGATCTCAATCCATTGCCATTGTATCACAACAAAGTTTTGACCGTCTTTGAGACTTTTTCATTCTAAGTCTTTAATTAAGAAACTATTTATTTTATCGAAATTGAAAGGATGTAAGAGTAAAATTATAGTTCTTTAGTCCACTGTCTTTATTCATACACTTGAATTTGAAATAATTCTCACGAATAAGCGTGTTTATCACATCCTGTTATTTAAAAGTCAAGTTGTATGTGACAGCTTAATTATAGGTTATGGTTATAAGCATGGTGTTTTCCCTCCTGAAAGACACTATATTTATAGAACGGGTTGTTGACTCACAATCTACGAAAGTTCTTCCAATAGGAAACCAGTCATAGGGCCTTGCCTTGTGTATTGGCCCAATGTTACTATGGGAGAAAACCAAAGTATACTTGGAGAAAACTAGCCTGTGTTTGGTAGAGTCAAACTGGAAGCTCTGTTCTCACATGTGACTGAGGTGAAATTATTACAGATCGTAAAATCAGCTGACTTTCAAGTGCCTACGTATTAATTACATGACTGTGCGTTCTAGAAGTATTTTAATAATTTTTTTAATTCTATAACTGCTAGAAGTAATTTTGCAAGACTTCGTAGCTTCATTCTTCATCTTCGCACTTCAACCTAAATTTATTAAACTTTGAATCACACAATCCAACAGGTGATTTTGTCAATACATTACCATCTTACTGCTTTCAACCCCATATATAGTTAAACCTGCTAGAATCACTGATCATTCTGCTACCTTAAGTGATAATATTTTTTCAATTCAATTGAACGACTTCAGTTTTAGTAGTAATTAAATATTCTTACTTTTTATAGTTTTATCATTGAGGATATATACATGCAAGATCCGTTTCTGGGGAGAAGAGCCACCTTTCTTAAGTTAATGGTAAGAGTTAAATTACATACTATTTTGTATGACCCAGGCAGCTTATGGTTTGGTTTTTAATTAGTTGTAATGCCTGCGACTATGTCATGGTGGCCAGTGTATTTTGCATTCAGACAATATTACGTTTTTCGTATTAAGTTATCTATTCTAATCTCTTTTTTGGAGGGGGTAGAAAATACTGTGAAGGTATTAAAATACTTCTAGAACGGACAGTCACTCACGTAATCAATACTTAGGCACTTGAAAGTCAGCTCATTTTACGAGCTGTTATAACAGCTAGTTCGTGTAAAATTAGCTGACTTTCAAGTGCCTAAGTATTGATTACGTGACTGTACGTTCTAGAAGTATCTTAATAATGTTTCTTTGCAGAACGTAATACGTAATTTTTGCATTAAATATTCTTACTTTTCACTATAGTTTTATCATTGAGGGTATACATGCAAGGTCCGTTTATGTGGAGAAGAGCCACCTTAACTTAATGGTAAGAGTTAAATTACATACTATTTTGTATGACCGAGGCAGCTTATGGTTTGGTTTTTAGTTGGTTGTAATGACTGCGACCATGTCATGGTGGCCAGTGTATCACATTCAGACAATATTAAGTTTTTCGTATTAAGTTATCTTAGATACTCTGATCTTTTGGAGGGGGTAGCCTCCACTTCTACTTTTGGGGAGGCTATAACTCCCCTTCTCCTCCCTAGTATCCCTAATAGCCGCCTATATCATATAATCTATATATCTCTCTACAACCAGTAAGACTGGTTTGCATATCAGCGCACAAAGCAATATCGATTTAGACTATTCCACGTTGGTGATCATGACTTGTTCACATGCATGGTTATCATGATGTGTCCACGAGAGTTGCATGAAATCAGTAATGACTTATTTGCATACAATACAGTATTATACATAACACACAACATACACATGCAGAAGGTCGACTTAGCCAAAAAAGTGTAACCGCGTTGCCACGCCATGATTCGTCATCAAAATGCTGACGCCATTGTCCTAGCCATTACGCTTATGAGAGGCATTCACCCCCTGGACATTCGCCATTTTGAATATTATCAGGGGGGAATGCCTCATAAGCACACTGGCTAGGACCATGGCGTCAGCATTTTGATGACGAATGACGGTTACGGCAAAATCATAGGAAAAACCAAGAAGTCGACCTGTAGTTCTTTTCTGTGATTATACATCGGTGACTATAGCGCGACTTGCTCACGACTGTTGGGGTAAAGGCCAAGTTTTTATAAATCAGATTAAGGTTAAGTCGTATCATAGCTTCAAGGAGAAGATGGCTGTGAAACTCATTAGAATAACAATATGACTCGTTATCTACGTTAGTCAACGTTTATTTATAAATCTGGTCCGTCACGTGTGTATTGTATTTTGCCAAATCCACCAATAGTAATTTCCAATTTACCCTATTGTTTGAGTCACAAATAGGTAACTTTCCTAATTAATATTGCTATTGGTTAGTTGGGCAAAAATACAATACGCACGTGACGGTGAAGGACCAGATTTATGAATAAACGTTGACTAACATAGATGACTTATATTGTTATTCTAATGAGTTTCACAGCCATCTTCCCTTCGATAGGCTAAATGGTCGTTTTCAGAGGGATTCAACTTTACCTAAAAAATATAAGTAATTGTATTGTTGAACGGTTGTGGTTTAAAAATTGTTAAACTTATATCATCTATGCACAATGCATTTAAGTGAGTCCTTGAATTTAAAGTGATATTTACAACTTTAATGAAGCATTTAACACCCAATTAAACTATCCGTGCATTCTAAAGAGGCTTACAATATCCATTACTCTAATGATGTATTTGACATAACATAGATTGATTGCATAATGTTAGAAAGTGCAGGATTGTATGTAATTAAAGTATACTTTTATAAACTCTTTGTTTTCTGAAAGAGCCAAGATTCGAATTTTCTGTGCAAATTAAGTAAAACAGATCTTTTAGTGCAAGTACCTCTTGTGAAAGAATATAGGAACATATTCGTGTTCACAGACCTTAAAAACAATCGATTTCAAAAGAAATTAATAATGCAGAACACGAATATATGAATATGCCCCCCCCCCCAATTATCGATCTTTCGACGCCTATGTATAGGAATATAAGTCTTAATGAATATGTGTTCAATAGGCCCTGGAATGTACCATAAAATTGATACGGCACAGTGCTTGATGCATCTATCTTCTGTGAGATGCAGGGTTTCATTCCAACTACATGCAATTGTTTCAGATTCATTTCAGGCGAATGCGATTGGTTTTGGCGGAACAATCTTAAGATACACCATAAAAGTAATGACTTGTTATAATAGACAGTGTTTAATATACATATACGCTTTACACCCCCTGCCTGAGTTTATACGGTTCAATTCCTGAGATTATACGGTTCAATTCCTGACATATGTAGTTGTGTGATATGATCTTTCTTCCGTTAAATGCGATTGGTGTTAGCCGAACAGTGCTTAATATGTGCATTCCACTCCTGAAATCATGGTTCGATTCCTGCAATATTCCGCAGTTGTTTGATGACAATGTTCTGCAAAATGTAGATTCGTGAAACAGTGCTTAATATGTGCATTCCAGCCCTGAGATCGTGGTTCAATATGCAGTTGTCCGATTATAATTTCGTAATTCGGAAATGAACAATTGTTCCAACAAGCCGATATATAAAGATATACAGTCCGCGTTGTTCCTTCCTAGCTCATCGACAACTTGTCAAACGGCTTGTTGACAGCTTACTCGGCACACTTGTTACAACACATTTCAAAAACAATCTTACTCTTTTATTAAAAAGTTCATAACACAAATGACATAATCTCTATTATACACTATATGTACAATTACGCAACTCAGACTTTGTTTATTGTTTTCCAAAGCAACGGATACTATAAGGTAGCCGACTATCAGGATTGCCAAATCACTTTCGTAATAACCGACCACTTAAACATGTATTGAACGAGTGTCAATTATACCGCTTCGATCCGCTCCCAGTTTTAAGTATATTGGAAGATACTTTGCAAACTATCGGGAGGGGGCTTAAGTTGCGAACATATTCCGAAATTTTATTAGCTGTACATTTCAGTCCTCTGCTCAAAATGAACGCTGATTTTCTTAACCAAAAATATAGTTAACATAAATCTAGTTACAACTTAGTGTTTGTCACTTTGTTAGTCAGGTATATTCTTCACAAATTTTGAGAGAAATAGGGGAAGGAGTGAGGCATCGCAACCCCTCCCCCCCCCCTGATGTACAGCACTCTGAAATACTGCGACTTAAGCAAAGCTGATATTGAGCTAAGGCTGTAGACAATAATGCTTTTAAAAACCACAAGAATGATAGCTTGCAGCATAAATAAAGTTTGATTAGTTCGGGATTCTTCTTACAGTAGTAAAACTGGATCACTTAAATAGTACCCTTACTTGAACTCCAGAGAGAACTGAAAATGCTGTCCAGTATAAATACAGTATGAGTTACTAAACCGCTATAATAATTTCTATTATGCAAATATCTTCAAATATACAAGAATATTTAATGTGATATTTAAGTAGACACTTGCATGCATAGCCGAGTCATTGTTTAAAGAAATTGATCTAAATTTCCAAGATTGGGATCAAAGTGAAAATGTAAGCTCGATTCTTCATCGTACATTGGGCTTGGTATTTCCAAATCATTCTCCACAATGTAATCTTCGCACTTTACAACAGGGCTTCGAGGTTCATGTAGTTCCGGTATATACAAGTCATTAATGTCTATATTGTTTGTCAGTTCTTCGCCAGACATGAAACATTCGTCTTCCGCATTGGAGTTTAGGCAAAAGCACTCATCTTCCGAGCCGAGGTTAACATCGGGGTATGAATAAGAATTGGAACATAGGCTAGTATTGCTTTGTGGCAAAGGGGGGACATAAATTTGGTGGGTTGCGGGCCTTGATAGAGGGAGGTGGGTTAGACGATAAGTGGGATCAAGCTTTCTGGGACTCTGGAAATTGTTGTGAATTTGGTGTGGGGGTGAGCCATTCTGGATGTGTTGAGGGGATGGGCCTCTTTGTCCAAATGCTCCCAAAGCGTTGGCATAGCATTGTGAATATTTAAGTTCCTTGATTGCTTCTCGAACTAAATCCTGTACATCTTCTTTCAAATCACATGGGTTTATTTTCCTCGGATTCCGTCTGCTTCTTACAACAGTTTTGACCTGTCTCTGTAAATACCGACGATGGTTGATATTTCGTTTGAAAGTTGCTGGTTTCTTCAGCGCACATTTGACAGCGTCCGAAGCCACGTCCATGAATTCGAGCAGCGATTGAGCGCTTGGTTCTTGAGCACGACACTTCATTCCTGTTTTGAAACGCGTTCTTTAAGTTCTTTGATGTGTTAGATCTTTGAGTCTTTGTGGTTTCGTTTTAGGTAAAGCTGTCCTTGAATGGAGTAAATGTCTTGATTTAAAGCACAGTTCTTCGTCTTTCACAATTCTTCTAAATTTCTAGCCTGAACTCAAGGAATCTCGAAGGAACGCGGTCTTGATTATATCCTTAGCCTTAGTAGACGGATTTCCTATACGAGATAAAAGTATACAAATTTGCCGTTTTATCTGCTTTGCTCTGTATAGTAAACAAAGCTTTCTTCACAAGTGTATGTGCTTTATATGCCGTGCTTTAATATGTCCTTAGGCTTTTTACGTATTTCTTCTGTAGTTAACTTTGCGATCCCTACACCACACAAAGTGTAAAGCGGATTACCGTTTTATCTTCTGAGCCTTGTTCACGAAGGAACGTTTTGCTTTTGTTCTTAACTCTGGTATGTGAATTCCTTTTGTAGGGTTCTAGTGGACTCCTCGTACCAGACCAGTTTAAACATTCAATATATGAAGTGTTGAAAATTCCAGACTTGATTCTAAGGAATCGCAGTGCTCCGTATAGTGTTGAAATTGTAGCCTTGGTATTGATTCCTTCTATATTGCGCATACAATTGTAAGCTTTCTGAATCCAGAGTCCACTTTGTTGCTGTCTCAGCGTTATACTAAAATAGTTCGCTTGTAATCCTTTCACGAGACAAGTGCGAACCTTTAATAGGTGTAAAGTGTCCTTCTTCCGTGTGCCGCCTCAGCGCTATGTTGTAGTCTTTATACTGTAGAATACTTCGCGATTCACGAGACAAGCTGTGTAAAACTTCGAATGCGCTTGTCCACCTTCCCTGGTTATATATTATAGTTCTTTTGCAAATCTTACACTTGTCATACGTGTGCCTTGTAGACAGCTTTGTAGATGAGATGGAATTACGACAATTGCTCTTCACGATCAGATTTGTTCGGGCGGATTTCTCTGTAGTTCTCTTTTGAATCCTTACACCAGGCAAGTGTAACAAAGCTTTGTAGATGCGATGTCGACCTTCTCTCGTTGTTCTCTCAGCGGTTAATGACAGATATTAACGAAGCAGAGTGTTGCTATATTTCATGTCGATGTAGGCGGGACATAGCAGTTTTGCGAGAATGAAATTGCCTCAAGTGACCCACTTGACTTATCACATCAGAGATTGTGTAAGATCTGTTTTGTTGGACTTTTCAAAGAATGCAGGTTTTTTTTGCGTTGCAGGAAGTTTTACTATGGCTCTTTGTTCCAAATTTCTTGCATGCTAGTTCAGATTTAGGATTGGTATGTAAAGAAATAATTGGCATTTGAGATGCAAATAGTTGCATGTTGCGTTCAATCGTTGATTATTCAGCAAACGGTTGGCAAAAAACACTTATGCAAAAGGCAGTCAATATGATATAATTCTTTCTAACATGCATATTAGATCTTTATATGGTTGCGTCATCTTCTCGAATATGCCTATAAGCCATAAAAATCTGTATTAAACAAGTCTCAAGGTATTATTAACCCTTGGATGCCGTTTGTCAGGCTGTGACGATGTAAAGCAATTTTTGCGTCAGGTTGGATTATGCTAGTGTGATTTAGTATAAAGAGCTTGAAATCGTGTCAGAAAGAAGTTTTTTAAAAGAAAATTCAGCTATTCTGGGCTCGGCAAATACAACACGTACGCTCGTATACTTGCGTCACGAATGCACGTCTTTATAGCAAATGTTCTTGTAACCAAAATCAAAGGGGCTTCAAATGTTACGGAATACATATAGGAAATTACACGGTTCGAGAAGTATGAATGAAATATCGCGTGCGTGTTTGGCGAAGTATTTATAACACTGCGAGTGAGTAATTTTCTGACATCAATTTTCTGACATCAAGGTCGTAGGTTCGACTCCCACCGTGGCCGGCATATTTTTCAAGCTCGCCCGGTGTGGATATACACTCAGAGTAACATCACAAACATCATAATATTCACCAACACAGAAAAAAAGTTTCAATTTACTGAGCTGTAAAATCTGTGAATAATTTTTATTTCTTCTTTGTTTTCTTTACTGGCAATAAACATGAGCTTAGTGCATAATACGAGCTCAGAAATTCTGCTCTCGCATGGGCGTCCGGACTTTAATTCACGTGGGCGCGGAAGCGTGCCGATTGAACATTAACCAATCAGAATGGAGTGAATTGATATAACTGATGAAATAATTGGCTAAACTAAATCAGTTGAACTGGACGTTGAATGGTATTCCAAATAGTTCTTTTTATATGTTATCAATTCCTTGTTATTGCTAGTTAATTAGCCTGCGTAGCAGGCGGTATTCGCGGGCACGAGAGAATGGGAAGCTACCAGTTAATTCGCTGGAACACCTTGGAAATCGTTCCAATTAACTCCGTCTTACTTGTGTTTTTCTGCCTATTTAAGCATGTGTTTCTGTGGATATTAATCGAGCATATTTTGCGACTCTGCTTTTGCAACTTTTTTCAAGTGACTCACTGATCTTCAAACTTTATCTGGATGGCGAATCCTAATCTCCCCTCATACAAGCAGAGGTTTCTCTCTCCCACCAGAAACCTCTACTCACAACGTACATTCTCATGGCGTGAGCGAATTGGTTTTCGTCTTGATTCATGAGACCGAGGCTCCAACGAAATATTCCGGAAATTAATGACCAAAAGGGTGTATTCCGTTAGCCAATTTTAAAACCAGAATATTTTCGAAACTTTTATAATGAAAAGGGATCTGTCAAATTCTTCACTAATCGAATCGTTGGCTGCTAAATTAGTTTTACTATCAAGCAAATGAGTTTATCGTGTTACAGATTTTTCATATTCACATATATTGACTGAAAGCACTGAGCTGTCTGCCATCTTGGATGTATATTGCGTGACGAGTGGTGTCCATTGAAATGATTATGGTGGGGTCACGCAAGTTTTTTTATCGGACAGCCAGTGACCAATATGAACGCAAACTCGTTTTTTGTTGTTATTTCAAATTTCGAATTGAATAAAAACATTTTAAACAACTCTTGATTGTTACTCGGTAACTTAGAAGTAAATTTATAACGCCGACCCCATTCCTGACGTCATCAAAACCGTAGTTAATGAAGTTAAGAATTGATCCAAGATGGCGGACAGCTCATTGCTTTCGGTCAAAATATTTCAAGAGTAAGGCTTGATATGAAAAATCTGTAACAATATTTTATGAATTATTTTAAACGTTCTTTCAAATGAGACAATAAAAAATGTTGTTGCCATTGTCCTTTAAAGTGTTTCAGAATGCTTGAAGCACTAGATAATACGACTTAAGGTGACCATATTGGGTGACCTCATCAAGTTTTAGAACGTTTTAATAAGCACTATAGATAATAAGGCTTGACGTACTTGAGGCCTCCACATTGGTATGACTTTTTTGACCATATTCGGCTTGACGCAATCATCAGAGGCTCAGAGCAAGCGCCTTTTCACCTCTGAGAACGTAGCTTCGATTCTCACTGCGAATTCAGAACATTTATGCATGTGAAAGAAGTTAGTCAACGCTCTACCGAAAGTCGTGGCTTTTCTCTGGGTACTCCGGTTTCCTCTCACAGGGGATGTTTATACAGGGTGGGTTGGGATTAGCCCCCTAATTGAACCATAGCTGTGCTCCGTGATCAGACATGAGTCCTTCGACTCGATCAGTTTGAGCTGCGTCCTTCGCAAATTCAGCTTAGCTCTCAGCTGCAAGTAAGGATGATTAGTACCAAAACTTGCTTATAGTTATTCACTGGAAAAGACATGCCACTGATGAACAATTTCTGTCCTTTCCCCAAATCATTTTATGAATATCTGGTAACATGTCAATACTACTACTTTGAATTTCTGGAGGTGATGGCCGCCATTGCCAACATGCAATTTTGTGATAGCAAATGCACTATCCAGTTCTCATTTTAAAGATCAGTGGAGCAACTGGTAGTTTTTATTGCGAAACAGAATAGTTCAGTATGTCGATACTCATGCCTGACGTCAAAGATGTAGTGCAGTTTAAGCCTCAGTGGTTAAAATATTGAAGATCTCCCATGATGGTTCAATATCACACAAATAGTCTATCTTAATTACTTTCTGATGACGACTAAGAGAAATTTTAACGTCGCGGAAAGTCAGGAAATCTGAACTTAACTAACTTTACATACACTGTATGTTTGTCATGTTGCTCTAAGTGTGGTTCACACCGCGGCCAAGCTGACAAGTTTGCTTGACCGCGGTAAGAAGCTCTGTCCGTTCATTTTCCATACGGCCTACAATAACCCGTAAATTCATTTTGAATTTACAGGTTATTTTAATGTCTAACATATATAGTATAGAAGTCCATTACAGTAAGGGTTGGCTCCCTTGACTGTATTTTTGTCCGGTTACATCATTTTCGCAAGATAGAAGAGGTGTTAAGTGGCTATGTAACTAACCCAAACCCTACTCTAACCTTAACCTCAACCCTAACCCTAACCCTAACCGAATTAATAAAAAAATCCAAAAAGAAACGACTTTACAAAATCGATAGGGCGGTTTGCTGGATGGAAAAAAGTGTCACTGAACTAAACTAACTTTATTTATACTGGATAGCTATATCAGTTCTAAACTGTTCTTCCTAGAGGTCCAGTAAGGTTCATCTCTTATTCAGATCCAGTGTTACTACAGGAAGAAACTTAAACTAAACTAACTTTATTTATACCGGATAGCTCTGTCAGTTCTAAGTAGTCGGTAAACTTAACTTAACAAGTATACGTTTAAATATTTTTTCTATATATGACGACAATTTATAACAAATCATCATTAATAGTTGTACTTTAATATATGGTTTTTTAACTATTTTTTATGATTCTCAACCCCCAGGCCCAGATGCATTTAAAAAGTAGTCAATTGCATAAACTAGAAAATAAAAGCTAAAACTATAGGTAATTTTGGGAGGTACGCCAGAACTATTTTCGATTTCGAATGCTTTTCATCAGAAATATGCATGCCACATAGAAAAAAAACTAACCTCCTACACATTTTTAACAATGAGATTAAGAAATTCTCAGCAAAACTTCTCAAACTTTCCAAAAGTGCCTCTTAAATGTCGAGAGGTAAAAAAAAATATTAATGAGAGCATGGTACGTACGAATTCCATCACAATTCTGACCATCAATCATCATTGTAATTTCTTCATGGGAGGTCAGTCCACGCCTGTTCCATGTACTCTAATATGTCACCTTTAATTAAGAACTCGTTTTTGAATAAGTACCTACGATTGAATTGAATTTGCCACGCAATTACAATAACGTAGCGAGGAAGACAAAAAGGAAATCTTATGGCTATATATAGACACTTTGGCTCCCTCACAGGCATAAAGTTCAACATTATTACAACTAACAACATGCATAAACACAACAAAACAGACATATATAATCTATTATATAATACCTTATTGAATTCTTATCGTTTAATCGGCTGTTTATGGTGACGTGATATTGAATCGAAAATTCCATTTCCCAAGAGTGCAATGGAATACGTTCCATTGCACTCTTTGCGAGTGCAATTGTACTATACGTTTTATTCCATTGCACTCTCAGTTTTGTTTTCGATAAATCGCATCCGTCAAAATGCTCCTCATACGAATCTATTAGTCTAGTCATAGACAATCCAGAAGACATGTCTTCTGGATTGTCTATGGTCTATTTTAGTATTATATAAAACAAATAATGACTGTTTATTCGTGCAATGGTAAGAATATTTTCATTCGGTGAAAGATGGAATGTTCCATTCAACTCGGCTGTCGCCTTGTTGAATGGAACATTCCATCTTTCACCGAATGAAAATATTCTTACCATTGCACGAATAAACATTCATTATTTGTATACTAACAAGCTTTCGTTGATAGGGATGCAACTCATACCTGAAAAATATAAGGAGAATTTCAACGTTTTGAGCGAAGGGCCTTCGCTCAAAACGTCGAAATTCTCCAAATATTTTTCAGGTAGCTGCATCCCTACCAACGAAAGCTTGGTAGTATTATTGGCACTACCTACACTGGTACAGACAGTTCAAGATATAAACTACCATGTATATATAGGTATATAACAAATCATTCATTTGGCGTGAAAATTACATATTTAAATTTTGGTCCTACTTTTTGGTCATGCGTGCAGACCCGCACGTTTGCTGAAAATTACCGAAAGTATTTCCACATAACAAGCTTTCGTTGGTAGGGACACAACTACACGAAAAATACATGGAGGAATTCGACGAAGGGCCTTTGCTCAAAACGTCGAATTTCTCCTTGTATTTTTCAGGTATTTTTCCACATACCTAAGGCTAAGTAAGATCTCTAATGAGAAGTTTGTGTGTGAATCTTCTTTTTTATATTTCGTGAAAGACATTTTACCGCACTCCAGCACATATTTTAGCCTAATTTCATCAATGAATATGTTGAAAATTTAGGCATCTTCGACATTCTTTCTGAGATTTGTGCATGCATAGGAAGCCTTGGTTGAAGTAATGCGGTTGTAGAGAAGCATTTCTATATCTGACAAACAGATGATCGTATAGAACGTAAATTAAGTTCCAATACATCGCCTACTTCTACCATTCTAATCTCGTAGCGCAATCGTTATATATCGTTATGTTACGGTCACCAGGCCATTATAGAGTGAGGGACATGCTTCTGATTTGGGTGAAGAACAAAGAAAAACGTATTCGTCCAATGATATTGACAGACAACGCAAGGCATAAATATATTTTTCTTTGTTCTTCATCCAAATTAAAACCTTATAGCCATAACCATTGTGCATGAGGGTAACATAACTATATACTACCACCAGCTGTGTGATTGACCGATAATTGGTATCGACATCGGGCCGATTTTTGCCTTATCGGTAGACAATTGGAATTATCTATATTCCTGATTGTCTAAAACCGATCGTTGAGAAAATGCGCACTTTAAAAATTATTTATTATGTAAACATAAGTGTTATATAGAGTTTTTGGCCACTGAGAAAAATCGTATTTAAACACACGTATTTTTGTTGTAAAACGCATTGCCACGGACGTTTTATTGTTTTTCACTGAATTTTGTTTATATAATAAACAGAAAAATACATGGGAGCTTGGAAATACCAGATTTATTTGTCGTGTTGAACATGATATCTCACTCGTTCGCTGCTCTCACTCGTGAGATATCATGTTCAACACGACAAATAAATCTGGTATTTCCAAGCTCCCATGTATTATTCTCTATATCCATTGCACGTTGATATACACGTTACGCAATATGTTAAACTAAAGCGTGAAGCGTGCCATCTATTAACGGTTTTAACAATCTTTGGTTGCAGTAACATGTTACGTTGCAACTGAATTATCGTTAAAAAATCGACATGAATGACGTCACCTTTACTCGGTCGACTGATATTATGACGTCATTGTAAAGTTGCACTATCGGTCAATCACCAACCAGCTCAGCTCATATACAGATATCGAAGAAACTAGACTAAGTACCAACATATCATACCTACTCGTACCCTTTTAACCTCATAGCTCGGTTGGTAGAACATTGAAGATCACGGGTTCGATTCCCTGTGGAACCAATTAAAGTAGCGCGTCTTGTAAAAATCATTTACGTGAGTTAAAACATCATAATCTTTGGAAATCTTTCAACATTAAAGTCTAAGACTCGGTTCTCAAAGTCTAGCTTTCATACCTAATCCTTTTCGATTTTCGATATGTAAGAGTCTTGCTTGCTGTTAAGTGCTTCAAGATGAAGTGGCTTGAGAAAATCGATGAACGGAAGTTTTTCGATTTCAATTGCTGAACTGTCTAATTAGTGGCTTGTGCGTTTATTTTTGGCCTGACTTTATAAAAGCTTGCGTGGGTAGTAAGTTTGGTCTTTATATTTCCCAAAACGTCTATAAAAGGCAGCAAAAATAAACCCTTATAGAAATTTCATGAATGTTTGAAAATGTTGACCTCTTTAGTTACTTATACTTGAAAAGCAACGTTCTAATCCCAGATCAGTTCAGCAGTTGTTTTTTAAAGAACTTTAAATACCTCGATCAGAACTCTGAGCAATTCATCTTAATCAGCCATGTTTAGACAGCTAGCTACTCGGTATCCTAGCAAATGTATTTAATTTGTGTTGAAATATTCCAGGTGTTTAAAGATTTTAATTAAATTCGTTTTACTCATATTTTTGTTTTCGTTTTATGGTATTTATAATTGACTGGTCAAAACATTTTCACAGTTTACAAAAGTATTATTTCCACATACAAAAATAACAAAAATATTATTAAAGATGACTACAATCATTCATCGATTTCTTTTGCTACTTTCAGCGACACGACAACCAGGGGTGTGGTAAGACATCCTCCCTCACACAATAATTTTAAATATTAAAATGTTGGTCAAAAGTATTAGCTGTTGGTCAAAAAAATATTGAGAAAAGATATGTCGGAAATTTAAAAATTTTGTGTTCAATGGTGAACAGTTGATCAATACTGGAAAACACATACCCATCAACCATTGCCTTACAGGAATGCAGATTCAAAAAGTTGGTCATTATCATATGGCAGCCCCCCTAAATCTTGAATCTTTCGTCACGCCCCCTGACAACCATCCATTTTATTTGAAGTTCTCAGTTTCTGTAATCATTTTTTAATGTAATGTAATCATTGATTAAACAAAATCGTTACATAACATACTTTTACTCAATCTGATTTCAAATGACCATTATTTATTTTTTTCATCATTATTTTTTAAAATGTTTTTCATCGTTTTATTTCCAATGTCATTATTAAAACTAGATCAATAATCATACTGTTTTACCTTTTCGGCTAAATAGTTCGAAATATTTTCTTTGTTTACACACATTTAGATGTCTACCACAATAGATTTTTTCAATTTCTTTCAACAACATCCCGCGTCTCATTTCTTCACCATCAATTGAATAACTTCAGTTGTGCTTGCACCACGACTACCTTGCACCAATATAATGATATTTTCATTTTTGCCAACTTTGCCCCGTTTTCCTCCACCATATCGAACAGCAACGCGCAAGAACGTCTTGCTTTTTGCCCTCAGTGTTGTTCGTTTTCGCCCAAGAAGAGACACCTAGTGACATGTTAACCACATTTCATTTAAAGGCACATAGTTCAGCCTTTTGAATGATGGTTTCTAAGGCGCATTTCAGCCCTTTTAATTGAGAAACTAACTAGGAAAATCAATTATACATAATTCAATATCAGTGAACGCCGAGTTTTTAACAATAAGAATGTTTTAAAATGTTGAAAACATTAAGTTTGCTGATCTTGAATTATGCTTAATTGATTTTCACAGTTAGTTCTTTCAACTAAAAGGGCTGAAATGCGCCTTAATAACCATCATTCAAAAGGCTGAACTGTGCTTTTAAAGTGCGACAAATATAATTTTTGGTATGCGTAATATTTGGGTCATTCGAAGAAGAAATGTAATATATCTTTATAATAAAAAATCCCATCTTGATCAACTTTTTCACTGTCAAAGTTTCCGGATATGATGTCCTTTAGGTGAATTGCAAATTAGTTTTCCTTTGTTTTTTGTACCAAAATTCACCTAATGACATCATATCCGGAAACTTTGACAGTGAAAAAGTTGATCAAGATTTTTACTATAAAGATACATTACATTTCTTCTTATTACACATACAAAAAATTATATCAGTGGTTAGTCGCACTTTTGTGTTGGACCTGCAGCCGTTACTATAGGCCTTTTACCATTCTGTTCCATTGAGCGATGCCCAAAATTGACCAAATTTCATTTAACACTTCATTTATATAGAATGTCGCTCGTATTTTTTCTCACATTTTAATGATTTGTCACAATATAGAGTATTATAATCCCACAAACAGAAAAACGACATAGGTGTGACTGGGGGAAAGGAACAGGATTTGTGTCCCAATATATAGATTTTACTGTTTATTGCAATCCAACGCCATTGGCCTCCCTTCGATGTGTTCGTGGCAATGCGATAGGGTTATAACACGTTTAGTGCAACGAATACTGCGTGTTACTTTATCTTGATCAATAACTAGCCTAACCTTTATCCTATTGACCGGGCATTTATACATGTAACACGAGGAAACACATAGACACGAGGTCACAAAGGAAAGAGTGCAACAAACAGCACAATATGTTAATTAAAATACACAAGTTTACATCTATAACTAATAATATGAATTAATAATATATTATTTACCTTGTACCCAAGAGTATCCCTGAATGAAGTCCTAAACACTTGATCTGTGTTCATGCCGTTGATCAAACACAACATGATAAACGTGCTACCACCTTGTCTGATAGAATCTCTTCCCGAATTATAAAGTTGTTTAAGAACCAATGGTTTCACCTGACTGGCCCGCTGTGACACTCGCTGGAATACCTTGTTCTTTCTTGTTCTTCCTTTAATCAATATTTTAAATTGCTCACTTGGTGGATTGAATGTGAAACTATAGCGTAAGCCATTTTCGTCATTTCGTGTCGGTTTTATATCAGGGATAAGGACTTTGCCATTGATATCGACGATGTCCACAAGGACTGAATCCTTCTGAACTTGCTTCGCTCCAAATATTGTAAGATCGACTTGAGCTGGTTCACCTTTTGTAAATATAAAAAAATATATATAGTCGCTATAAACCGAAATAAATCTTACAAAAGTGCCTACATCACTTGTGGGACATTTATGGATTTGAAAAGAGCGTAAAAAGTTAGTTAATAAGTTCAAAAGCTTTTTTTTATTCGGTGCAATAATTTCGAAGATACAAGCCTCTAAACTACCTACAATTCCTGAGTCCCAGGCTCCTATACACAATGGACAGTTTCGAAAAAGGCCAAATTCAATAGCCGTGTTTAGACCCCAGGTGGCTGGGACTCAGGAACAGTCCGTTGTTTAAAGGCCTATATCCTCAAAACTATTGCATTAAATAAAAAAAAAGCTCTAGAACTTATTGACGAACTATTCAATTTCTTTTGAAATCCATAAAAGTTCCACAAGTGATATAGGCACTATAAAAAGAACGGTCACTTACCAGCTATAGGATGTATTAATTCGAATATTTTCCTGTACACCTTCTTCCTGTAACAATGCTCAAAGTTAATATTCTCAGTGCTCGAAACTTTGACTGAGTATTCGTATTCCCCCGCGTCTACAGGGATCTGAATCTTCCAGTTACCATCCGTAGGCGAGTCAACAATATAAATAGCAACATTGGAAAGACGATTCATTCCCTCGGTCCATGCCACTCCTGAAGGAGCATGTAAGCTGATGCCATTTGCATTGTTCTCGGTTGTTGCAGAAACAATTAACTGGGAAATGGTATCGTCGAGCGGAATTAAAATTTCGTCCACGGTACTGCGCCTCTTTCTTCTCTTCGAAACTGTACCACCAGATCCTACCGTCGCCAGATTACCTAAATCCGGAGAAGGGCGAAATTTTTATTCATTATTATTATTATTACTAATGGTTTAGCTACATTTTTTTGCAAATAAGATTTGAATTACAAAGTGTTTACAAAGTTAAGAAAGTTAAAAAGAAAAATAATTGCATTGTATATTTATCAGTTATAGACCTGAAACGAGGGGTATTCCACAAAAAATTACCCTGAGGGATGAAGAAGCTAGTTTTGAAGCGTTCTGTTCCACACTTGTATAATGAGAAGTCATTTGAATTCCTGGTGTTGTGTTGGTGTCAGAGCAGTTGCTCTGGATTGCGACACGTGTTCCTTTAGAGAGCCATGCTTAATCATTTTGCTCAAGATTTTTAAACAGATTGTGTTTCATCTATTATCTAAATCTTTCATACCCCGCCATCACTAATGCTTCGTGGTAGGAATGGCATCCCATTAAACTAATGGCATCCATTTTTGACATCCTATTCAACTAATTTCAGAATCATCCACACGATATAAAAAACCTTTTCATATTAATGCTGGCACTGCAGAGAACAACGAAACATTTATTGTCTCGACCGTCACTCTACCCATTGCATTGAACAGTTGTTTTATTTTTTCCAGCATCCAAATTGACATTTCAAGCTCATCTGATTAAACTCTCGTCCACCTCATTAACATTTTTTCTTAAGGTGGTCTTCCACCGTGAAAACATTTTTTTCAAATTAAAACTTTTGTCATCATATTTGAGTCAAGTATGATAGATTATACTCAGCTGACACAGGATCAGTATTAACGTTTACATTTTTCATTGCCCAACTAAGATAGGCCTCTCTATAGGGTAAAATATAGGATTTCTCCATATATTAGAATAACTTACATCATAGCCTATCGAAGGGAAGATGGTTGTGAAACTCATTAGAATAACAATATTTAACAATTATTCGCCGAAGGCGATGTGATTATCGGAGAATATTCGCCGAGACGAAGTCGAGGTGAATAATCACCGAGCCTGAGGCGAATAATTGTTTTAGTATCTTTACACAAGTCTTTTGTGTTTTTCTAATTTTAATTTCGCTTATTTTTTATCAATAACTTCCACGGAACGGCTAGCCACCATTTTGAAAATTTTCGTTTTTGTTATATTCACCTGTAGGTGAATATAACAGCTTAATACATTAAATTTGACCAATCAACTTGTAGGATTTGTTATATTCACTTGTGCAAAAATACTAAAATTCATTATTTATGTTAGTCAACGTTTATTCATAAATCTGGTCCTTCACCGTCACGTGCTTATTGTATTTTTGCCAAATCCACCAATAGCAATTTCCAATTTACCCTATTGTTCGAGTCACGGATAGATAACTTTCCTAAAACATTGCTGTTGGTTATTTGGGCAAAAATACAACACGCACGTGACGGTGAAGGACCAGATTTATGAATAAACGTTGACCAACATAGAGAATAACTTATATTGTTGTTCTAGTGAGTTTCACAGCCATATTCCTTTTGATAGACTATGCTTACATAGAACAATATAATTGAAAAGTGGAACAATAGAATAAATCAATCGCATACCTTCATTTGCATCGGTAAAATGACGGTTTTACCCTAAGAAGGTCTAGAATTACCTGGATTTCTCGGTTTAGGGTATATTTTTGTGCTTAAAATTATACGGATTTTATAAAGAACGCTATGAATACTGCATTTTTGGGTGGAAGACCATGCAATAAGCACGCGTTGGTGCACGGGAAACTGAAATGAATGTATAATGCATGACGGCAATGGCCTTTCCCCTTATAACTAAAATTTCGATCTAGACAACAATTTCATCACAGTTTGAAAGAGCATCACAAAATTAGTAATATTCCAAAGTTTTGTTGCAAAATCTTGTAAAATACGGATAATATAGCCTTGCGAAGTTTGCCGTTTTTCAGTCATTTTGTATTACAAACGGGAAATTGACATCCGATTCGGGTGTTGGGGCTGCAATTTCCCGTTTGTAATGCAAAATGACTGAAAATTGCAAACTTTGCAAGGCTATATTATGGAAACTTTGGAATATTACTAATTTTGTGATGCTCTTTCAAGCTGTGATGAAATTTTTGTCTAGACTTGCCTAGATCAAAATTTTGGTTATAAGGGGAAAGGTCTATTGTACCTCATCGTTCATTTGTATGCATTTAAAACCAACGAGCCCCTACCTAATTATGTGTCCGTAAAGTTTGCCAAACTTTTCAATTCAGTGTGTGGAATCCGCCAATACTTTCCTCCGGTCTTGACCTGTAACTGTCTGTAAACTTCAAATGTACTGCTAGGTGGATTATCGCAAGATTCTTCCGTGAAAAAGTTGATGGTTACTCCACAGAATTGAGCAAGAACAAGGAGCTGCTCCATCTTTTTTACTGTGCCATCTTTTGGCGAGGCGTCGGTGAAAACAAACAACGGAGATCCTTCTACGGGATCTTGATTGATTGCTTCGAACATACCTTCCAATGCATATTCTGGGCAATCCCCTCCTCCACTTGCCGTAAGATTGCCTATCTTGTTTATAAATTCGTTCACTTGATTTTTGTCTTTCTTTATGGCGCCTCCCATCTCTAAAGTAAAACTTTTCATTAATGATGGTGGTGGTTGTGATGGAGGTGGTCATAGTGATGGTGGTGATGAATATGGTGATCTGTTTTATGATGATGATGATGATGGTGGTGATGCATTTAGTGGTGATGGTTGAGATGATAATGGTAGTTGTGGTGATGATGGCGATGGTGATGATAACGGTGTTGGATGTAGTGATTGTGGTGATGATGATGGTGGTGATGCATTTAGTGGTGATGGTTGAGATGATAATGGTAGTTGTGGTGATGATGGCGATGGTGATGATAACGGTGTTGAATGTAGTGATTGTGGTGACGATGATGGTGTGGTGATGATGATGGTGGTGATGCATTTAGTGGTGATGGTTGAGATGATAATGGTAGTTGTGGTGATGATGGCGATGGTGATGATAACGGTGTTGAATGTAGTGATTGTGGTGATGATGATGATGGTGTCGACGTGTCGTGACGTTTAAACCTTGCACACAACCAAAACATCTATTTAAATGTTAATTTCTTACCCTTCATGGGGTCTCCAAACCAGGACAGAATATAATTGCTTGGTGCACTGCGTTTAAACGTGCTTATCTCAGTTGCGATTGCTTTGGCCGCCTCTATTTCTTCATACATGCTGCCCGTAATATCGATCGCAAACATCAACGTCTTTCCACCTTCCAACGCAAAAACTTTGGAATACTTTATTTCGCCAAGATCTTTCCTTATGTCTTCAAGAAACCTTTTTGCGTCCAGCTTGGTTGATCTTCTCCGACGTCCAGCTGTTCCTGAATTGCTTTTCCCTATCTTATTAAGTGCTATGGCGAGCGCGCGCCGTGCAAATTTCATGTTCCCTAGTATTACTGCTTCTTTGATATCGCTTTTCAGCTCTGACAGTTTATATTTGTTTCTAAAAGTGAAATTAATACAATATTGTGTTTTTGATGTTACTCTGAATATATATCCACACCGGGCAAGCTGAGAAGTTAGCCTGACCACGGTGGCAATCGAAACCCGCGACTTTTGGGATACTAGTCCAATGCTCTGCCAACTGAGCTACGAGGCCAAGTCTGTTCGAGTGTTATCGATGTTTCGGAATTAGTACCTTCGATACCAATGAAGTCTAGTACCTTCGATACCAATGTGTTCTATGTTCATGATATTTAAAAATAAATAAATAAAAAAAAATATTAATACAATATGAAGTTAGGTAGGTTAGGTAGGTTGATGGGTAGATGGTGGGTGGGTGTGCAGGTATAGATGGGTGGGTAGGCTGGTGTGTGGGTAGGTAGGTAGGTAGGTAGATGGGTGGGTAGGCAGGTGGATGGGTGGGTAGATAGGTGAGTAGGTAGGTGTGTAGGTTGGTGGTTAGGTAGTAGGCGGATGGGTAGTTAGATGGGTGGGTGGGTAGGTGTTTGGGTAGGTAGATAGATATATACAAAGGGCGTGTAGGTTGTGTAAATGGGTGAAGGATATATAACTATAACTCTAGCACCCACGCATATTTTATTCAATTCATTTTCTGTACCTGGATAGGTCAGCTTGTCCCATGAAGCGTTCGATCTGATATATAACTTGATTGACCTGGTTTAAATTTATGTTTTTCAGAGCACTGTTCGGATTCCGTATGCTGCTGCTTATAATATCTTGGACCACTTCAGTCATGGCCGAGCGTGCCTTATCCACCGTCACTAAGTGTTTGGGTAGCACTAGCTTGTCGACTGTAAGGTAAAGTTCAAGTTGTTTTATTTTAAGATTGAATGACGTGAATGTTTGAAGGTCCTATTGATACCGTTTTCTGAAAAAAGGTATAAATTTCCCGTGTGTATTACAAAATGACTGAAAAACGGCAAACTTCGCAGGGTTATATTATCTGAATTTTACAACATTTCGCAATGAAACTTCGGAATATTACTAATTTTGTGATGCTCTTTCAAGCTGTGATAAAATGTCTGTCCAGACTTGTCTAGATCAAAATTTTTTCATTAGGGAATAGGTCCATTTCCACCTTCTTGGCTCGCCCCAGATACATACAAAGCTCACTGAGTGAAACCATTTGCATGTTGTCTTTGTAAAGAATGCACTTACCGCACAAATTACACGTTCTTGGACACTGAAATTTGAAATTACGATATTTGCAAAACCAGCCCGGTTTCTTGGAGCAAATCAAGTCCTCTTTCTTTGTGCAAATGGGAACTGTAAAGATGAAGTGTACGTTTTCAGTTATCTAAGGGATCGGTCATTATTTTGGGGTTGGCATCGGAGAGAGAAGGGTTGGGTAAGCAACATTTTGAGTGAGTGAAATGTTGGGGAATTGAAAAACAAAACAACTCATAGTAAAATGGATTATTATTTCCAAAGCATGACTCACTCAAATATTGAAGACTAAAAAACAATGTCAACAATCATATATCAATACAATCAAAATCAATCAGAGTGACTATTTTGATCATTGTTCGATTTGTCCGGAGGCAAATGGTGTCTCCAAAGAAGGTACATGTGCAGACAACATGAAACTTTACACTGCAGAAAATTGCACAAGCAGTTATCATGTCACAAAAGTGGTAAAGCACATTTGTGACATCTGAACGGTATCATTTTGTATCCCTTTTCAAATAGCAGAACTTCCTTTTCAAATAGCAGAACTCCCTTTTCAAATAGCGGAACTCCCTTTTCAAATAGCAGAACTTCCTTTTCAAATAGCAGAACTTCCTTTTCAAACAGCAGAATTCCCTTTTCAAATAGCGGAACTTCCTTTTCAAATAGCAGAACTCCCTTTTCAAATAGCAGAACTCCCTTTTCAAATAGCAGAACTCCTTTTTCAAATAGCAGAGCTCCCTTTTCAAATAGCAGAACTCCCTTTTCAAATAGCAGAATTCCCTTTTCAAATAGCAGAACTTCCTTTTCAAGTAGCAGAACTTCCTTTTCAAATAGCAGAACTCCCTTTTCAAATAGCAGAACTTCTATTCAAATAGCAGTTATCAAACTCGTGTCACAAAAGTGGTAAAGCACATTTGTGACAACTGAACGGTATCATTTTGTAAAGTCTTTGGCCAGGGGTGGGTATGTATTTTTTAATTGTTATCTGAGGTTGGGTAAAAATGTTTTTATTTTTTAATGGTTAGATCAGCAAAATTGTTACCAAGAAAAACATTTATCTTCGGTGCTACCCCCGCCATAAATAATGACCGGTCCATAAAGCCTAGTTCACGCGTCATCATGCGCTTCAACCTCATGTAAATGACCTAAACTCATTGTTTGAACTCATTTACACTTATAGGTTTGGCAGATGAAAAGTTCAACGTTTACATGAGCAGTTTTACGTAACACGCGACCAGCTCACGCAAAAAGGTTGGTATATATTTTTTGATCTTTAAACGCGGTTACTATATTAAATTCAATATAGGAAACGTCAACAAAAATCTCGTAACCTGAGCAATGCCCGTTCGTAGGTTCTGTGATGAATACTGCATCAAGTGTGTTTTTTTTTACGGACTGAAACTGAAAAACATCCGCTTCAGCGTAATCTCTGGCAATCTACCAAATTTTCTGGATTACCTTATTACAAATCATGCGCATTAGCTTATTAAAAATCAGTTAATCATCGTTCGATTGTTTCCTGATGAATGATAACAACTTCCTTTTGCGGCTCAGATGGGCGCAATTGCTTTTCATTTTGCAAACAATTAACATTTTATTAATATATATTCATAACATGGACCATAGACTATTAATATAATAATCTTGAGGTCAATATAGTCTCTTATAGATTAAATTTTCGATTGTTATACTAACAATTAGCTGGTTAACAATTATAGGTATTGCATTTTTTTTGAGACACCCTTTATATTACCTTAAACAACACAATATACTATTAGTAGTATACCACTCCTAGAATAGTTATCGCCCACCTTGGTAATGCAAGCCGGAAATTTTAGCACTGAAATACATTTTCGCGAATTCACAATATTTCTTTAAATTAATGCATGCGTTTGGACTTCCGCACCTGAGGATTTCTCTGAAATTGGGGATTTTAATATCCGTACGAACAACTAAATCGAAAATTTGTTTTCTTCGCATACTCCTGCTCTTCTTACATGGAAAAACCACAGAGTTCCAATTTTTGAAAAGGTCTACATTGGACTTGCTTCTCTCAGGCCACTCGTTTTGTTTTCTGATGGCGTGATTCGACTCATTCGAGTTCCCTGGACTCGTTAAAGTCACTGATCTAGATTAAAGTTTGGTATTCTGAAAACTCTACAGTCACAGCCTAGAGGAAAACCATAAAATGTTCCGCTCGCACGGAGCCTGTTAAATTCGTGTTTAAATTTGAACCATTTTAAGTTACTGGTATCTTTGATCTTCACAGGGTCTCGGTAAAGTAGACCTTAACGTGAAATATTGTCTAGTAGGTGCATGTATATAGTGCGTGCGGTGTGCATGGACCGACAAGGAAAATACACAAAACATTCAGTGTTTTGTACATTTTCCTTGTCGGTCCATGCACATAATGTCGTGTAAAAATATTCCTCAATGATAGATATAGGTCATATGATGATGTATATTACTCACAGGGTCTTGCAAACAGACCATCCCGTGAAGTATGTGATAACTAATTTATTTTGCCCTGTAGATTGCTATGTCCTATATAACCCATGCAGAGATACGATCTGCTGGCGTGATTCGACACTTTCGAGTTCCCTGGACTCGTTAAAGTCACTGATCTAGATTAAAGTGTACTCTGATATTTTGAAAACTCTGCAGCCACAGGCTAGAGGAAAACCATGTTTAAATTCGTGTTTAAATTTGAACCATTTGTTATTGTTTTTTTATCTTCACATATACATACCATACGTGTGCATATACGGTGTTTTGTTTATTTTCCTTGTCGGTCCATGCACAAATCGTGTAAAAATATTCTGTACATTACTCGCAGGTTCTTGCAAGCAGACCATCTCGTGAAGAATGTGATAACGAATTTATTTTGTCCTGTAGGCTGCTATGTCCTATATAACCCCAGAGATACGAGGATATAAGATTTCTATGTAGGTGTTAAGTATTTTGTGTTGTTCACCATTTGTGGGTATTATTACGTTAATGGATTTCTTAGATCTTCACAGGGTATGTGAGGGCGGTGAGGCGGACCATACTGTGAAGTATTGTGTAATAGGTATGTTATATACCGTAGAGAATCCATGTGTATATAGCCATATTCCGGCTTTGCTATGCTAAAAGTAGGCTTTTTGTATTTACAGGGTATACATTTACCAAACAATACTTTATGATCTCCTCGAAGTGGATTAAAATGAAAAGCGTTTTTCCTTCGTTTTGTGTGTCGCTCTTAGTCTCATTATAGTAAAACATTAATACATTCTAAGCCCCGTTTACACGACAAGCGTTTTGGGTACGGCACTCTTAAATTTAGGCACGCGGACCATTGCTTATAAAACGGCCCGCTTGGTTTACACGACAAATTTCAAGCGGACTTGTTTTAGCAACAGGCACCCCTAATCACAAAAACGGTCCGCCTAAAAAATGAGCCCTCGTACGCTATTGCTAGCGGTTATGAACAAAAAAATAATAATTTCGCGTTTTTTGGCGGGCTTTTTAATTAAACATGGCGAACAATATGAGAAAGAGATTGGCTTATGTCTGGTTTATGAAGTTAAAGCGAAAAAGGGATATCGTGCAGAATACATGGCCAGAATGTGCTTATTCATCACGAATACCTCGAGATAAAATACACAAACGTCGACTTTTGTTTGTTGAAGCTATATTAGCATATTTACATCGTCCACGAATTAGGGATTTGTGGATGCACCCACGATCGTTAATATGGTTTGACATGGTTGATGAAACATTTTGTGACGAGCTATGGTATGCTAATTTTCGAGTGAGAAAACAAACTTTTTCATTAATCCTCGAGAAAGTTGAGCGAGATATATGTCGTATCAGTACACCTATGCGTATAGCTGTTTCTGCCAGGCGACGACTTGCCTTAACATTATATTTCCTGGCCTCCACTGCCGAGTATAGGACGATCGGGAATCTATTTGGTGTATCGCGATCATTTACGTGCCAGTGTGTAAAAGAAGTGTGCTGCGCGATAATAAAGCAGTTTCCAAAGGCTATCACTTTCCCGAAAGGAGATGAATTACATCAAGTTCTTCAGGGTTATGAAGAAAGGTGGGGGTTCCCCATGTGCGCCGGTGCAATCGATGGCACACACATACCAATACTGGCACCTACGGATAATCACGTAGAATATGTCAACCGTAAAGGTTTTCACAGCGTTCTCATGCAAGCAGTAACTGATTGCAATTATTTATTTCGGGATGTTGTGATTGGGTGGCCTGGAAGGGTGCATGATGCTCGAGTTTTTTCAAATTCCACAATTTTTAGAAGGGGAAATGAGCAACAACTTTTCCCCCGCGATCTTGTAAAGGAAATTTGTGGAGTGGACATACCACCATTTCTTGTGGGTGATCCAGCGTACCCCCTCCTTCCATGGTTACTTAAGGGATATCCTAGAAACGAGGCTTCCGAAAACCAGCGAAAGTTTAATTATCAACTTAGCCGCGCACGAATGACAGTGGAAAATACATTCGGTCGATGGAAAGGTAGATTCCCCAGGTTTCATAAACGAGTTGATATGGAAGTACCTTCATTAATAGAGGTTGTTCATGCATCTTGCGTTTTACATAACATTTGTGAAATTCGGAAAGATGACTTTTTGCCCAACTGGGAGGAGCCCAACGTTTTTGAAGAGCAAATTGTGGCATTTGATGAGATTGATGCACCTGATGTCGAGAGGATTCGCAGTGCTTTGACCGAGCATTTCTCTTAAGCATTACATGCTTTAACATATAAATTATACATTACAGTCTACGATCAAGATGACAAGAGAGACATGTGTGTATGAAATTTGCTTTTTGCAGTCACAAGAACGTTAACTCGAAAGCACCTTCCCCGGCCCCATTAAATATTATGTTTGACATACTCTATTAAAGTTTTACTCCTGTATATAAATACAGTATATATGTACAAAACTCAACTATGTCCACCTGTTCATTTATATAGTTTGAAAGAACTTATATAGTTTCAACTTAATATAAAAATAAGTATTTTTGTAACTCTGATATTCAAGTTTATCTTCAAAGTTTAAAATACGTTGCGTCGCCATTTGAGTATGTGATATCATTGCCATTGCCATTGCCAGGATCAACACTATTGTATGTTGGATGGTAGAAAACAGGATTGTTGAAATTGTTACCAGATGAAACACCGTGTGGAGGTTGTTGAGGGGACAAAATCATACGTAACATGTTCATTTCATGTTGCCGTTCTTCTTTCCTCCGTTCACTTTCTATCTGCATCTGTTTAATCCGAAACTCGTGTTCTCTCTTAATACGCTCTTCTTCAAGTTTTTGATATCTAAAACAAAAAATGCGGAAGAAAGCAATTACTGTAAAACACATCACAAAATAGACCAATTATAACGAATATAATGTAATTTACCATTGCTAAACATGTGGCAAACTTGTTTAACAATTACAGTCAAAACAATCCATCACGTTTGTTTAAGATTTCTCATTTCTCCCAACGTACTCAACTATTCAGTTCAAATTATGTTAAATTTAATTCATTAAAGTTGGATACAGAAAGCATTCACACCAAGCTAACTTAAGTACTGTAACTTCGCCTTCGGTAGCTTCTATTTCAACCTTCATATTATTATTTTAGCAGTTAACGAATCAATTTTCAAAATCATCGTCATTATTGCTTACAACCAACCTTTCAAAATCGGTTGCTGCAGATTGCTTAAATTTGTCGAAGACAACGTCCAGACTCTTTTCAACGTTGCTTTTCTTTTTTCTCTTTGGCAGTACTAGCGTTTTCTCTTTGCTTGCTTCGTTTCCTGCGTTATTTAGTTGCTCTTCAGATGCACCAGGTCCAGGATCACCTTCATGAGAACTGTCATGATCACTTCCTTTAAAAGAATAAGGATTGATGTTTATATTGACAGTTCAAAGTTAGTGAAATTATCAGTTTTGGCTGAAACTGGAGTTGTAAAAAATAAGGGTTTCTGCCATACCTTACATGAAATTCGCCAGAACGTTATCAGTCCGCGAAATAAGTTTTTAAAATATTTTAATAAATTATTACTTTATAGTTGCTTTAGATATCTGGGCATCTCTTACCAGAACATTTGCTTGGTAGCTGATCATTCTCACTTGAATCACCTTTAGGGCAATGGAATTCATCTTCACTGGAAAAAACCATGACAGATCCACCTTCCGAAACATGGACACCACTAGATCTTATTTCCTGTTCGTAATCACAACTTCTACACTTGTAGACACTAGTTTCTCCTTGACCATATTTATCAACCATAATATCAACTTTATTGAAATAAAGAGAAACTATAAATGAAAACCTATCAGGTG